TCATTTATTTTCTTTTCTTCGGGCCCATCCGTATGCCTCACTCCCTTCAGTGGCGTGGTTATGCACACAACTGTGAATAAATGGGCTATGTATGGAATCTCCCCAAATCCACGTGGACTGCATCACTACATTACTCTTTCTTCAGTCCCCTGCTTACCCATTACGGCCTCCTAACCAAGACCAGCATTCACTGATTTTTATAAAATCAAAGTTTATATTCTGGGGGCTTGAAAACACACACACACACACACACACACACACACGTGCGTGCACACAAACACACACAATTTTTATCTATCTATCTACCTATCTATCTATCTATCTATCTATCTGTCTATTTTTGTCTGTTCATGTTTTTCAATAACTGATAAAAATACAAATATCACATCTCTTGCACACAGCAATTCAAAGAAACTGACTGAATTCTAATGTAACCATAAAAATAAGCCAAACTCATTAAAAAGAATCTTTGACTTGACAACTTCATGTTCAGCTAAATCATCACTTACCAAATTGCTGCCTTTCCCCCCAGATTTTCACTATTATTCCCCTACAGTTTGTAGTGAAAGACTGTCAGTTACTCTCCAGAAAATATACACCATTTCATTTTCTTCACTAAGCTCATTTTCTGCCTCATTTTCTCTACGTTTTTGCTACTGGGAGTTGGGAGGGAACAAAAATGTGCACTGTCTAGTGGGGAACCGGACTGGGAAACACTGCCTTAGGGTTCCTGCACTGGGTCACGTGTGACTGCTGGAGACCAGCATCTGTGATGCTCTTTCTTCCAGTAGGATCAGGTCTTCACGGTGGATCAGGAAGCATGGTCAGTTAAAACCAAAATGCAGACAATTTTGAAACATTATTTGAACATTAAAGTTTCAAGTAATGGCAGCTGGAAATCCTCAGTAGAAACAAATAATTAGAAATAAAATAATGATACCCCTAATTCAAATCCTAACTGCAATCGTTCTTAGGAATTCGTTCAAGATAAGACCAAACGGATCTTTTGTATGAAACAAATATTACATCATTCTGTGTCAGACTTCTGACTTATTCATCCTATAATGTAGAGCTGCATTTGCCTGGCATAGCAAATCAAATCAGTAGAGTCTGAATGTTTTTGGGAGTCAACAGAACTCTTTTTATTTGTTCTTCAAAGGTTACAGTGCTGAGGAAAACCTGCAGTGAAGGAAAAAAATTTCAGCGGCTTGCCCGGGGTGACCCAAAAGCCAGACCATCTGCAGGGAGCTTCTGTGAGTTCTCTCTGGAGCATTTCATTCCAAGAAAACGATGAGTTATTTAATCCTGAATAAATGACAAGCCATCCCATTAGATATAAAGCTGAATGGCTCAAACACTGTACTCTCACTGACTTCTCACTGCTCTCCATTGCATCCAAAGCAAAATCATATCTGAAAATCCTCCTAATTTACATTTAAAGCCATATGAATGTGAATCCTCAGTTACCAACAAGGTTCAAATGAAAGCAGTTATTTATTTTGGTTTCCCAGAAACAGGGAGTCATTTTCCATGTTAAAGCAGTACTTCCTGTATTTTTAACCAGCATGAATTCGATTACATTGTATAAAGTTAATGTAATATAATGTAATGTAAAGTTAATCCAGCCTCAGCATGTCTGCGGCTCCTTGAGCAAGGCCCTTAACCCCCAGCTCCCTGGATGCCCCAACAGGTGGCTGCCCTTCGCAGACAGCTTACTCTACAAAGAGCAAGTTGATGGAGGCGTAAAAAGAATTTCCCCATGAGGGACAATAAAGGTTAAATTATTATTATTATTATTATTAATTAATTAGCATATGTGTATAGGGTGGCATGGTGGCTTCATGGGCAATACGTTTGTGTCACATACACCAATGTGCAGCAGTGGTGGCCTTATGGTTAGGGAAACAGGCTTGTGATTGGATGGTTGCTGGTTCCAATCCCTGACTAGCAAGGTACCACCCCCACACACTGCTCCTAGTTGATAGATAATAGCTACTCACTGCTATGTTGAATAGGGGTTAAATGCAGAGGACCCTTTCCATCACTGTTTCAATAATGACAATTAATCACTTTCACTTGAAAATAGGGACAATAAGCAAACTCCCCATGCAGGCACAGGATTTAACCCCCCCCGCCCCCCCCAACCCAGTAGGTATGAGACATGAGTGCTACTTCACACAAAAATAAAATCTTCTACTATTGCGCAGTGGATTACATTATTTATGCATCCATCTTCAATAATTTCCCCAAACTTATGGTAAGTTTGGAGCCCCGGGCAGCACAGGGCATACGACGGGAGACCACCTGTGCAGAGATGCTGCCCGTCACAGGACATACGACGGGAGACCCCCTGTGCAGACATGCTGCCCGTCACAGGACATACGACGGGAGACCCCCTGTGCAGACATGCTGCCCGTCACAGGGCATACGACGGGAGACCCCCTGTGCAGACATGCTGCCCGTCACAGGGCATACGACGGGAGACCCCCT